CTCCTTGCTGCAATGGCTTATGACCGCTATGTGGCCATCTGCCATCCACTCAGGTATATGGTCATCATGAAGCCCCACTTCTGTCTCCTGCTGATTGTGTTGCCCTTGTCCATCAGCACTGTGGACGGCCTGCTGCACACTCTGATGGTGCTGAGGCTGTCCTTCTGCACAGACCTGGAGATCCCCCACTTTTTTTGTGAACTTGCTCAGGTGTTAAAGGTGGCCTGTTCCGACACCTTCATCAATAATGTCCTGATATATCTTGCAGCTTGCATATTTGGTGGTGTTCCTCTGTCTGGAGTCATTTTCTCTTATACTCATATTGTAATCTCTGTCTTAAAGCTTCCGTCATCAGAAGGGAAGTATAAAGCCTTTTCCACCTGTGGGTCTCACCTGTCTGTTGTCTCCTTGTTCTATGGGACAGGTTTTGGGGTGTACATTAGCTCTTTAGTTACTAGCTCCCCCAGGAAGACTGCAGTGGCTTCTGTGATGTACACTGTGGTCCCTCCAATGCTGAACCCCTTTATCTACAGCCTGAGGAACAGGGACATGAAGGAGGCCTTGAGGAAACTCATTGTTAGAGCAGCTTCCCTTCATTGATATGTAATTTTCTTTCAATTATGCTCTCTAAAATAAATCAACGTGACGGGATCCATGGTGAGTGAGAGAATCTGATCTTTAATTTACCACGTTTTTCTAAAATTTTCTTTTGTCATCTCTGTAAAATTCGACAAGTGATTTCAATTCTCTAAACATAAACTTTCTGCTCTGGTGCCACGTAATCTGAGACTGAAGCAGAGATTCCGTCTTAGCAATTATTCCCTTGAAATCTGTCCGAAGAAGGTAAATTAGAGAAGGCGAATAACAAAAAGAAAACATTCAGACAACACTCTCTCATATAGAGACAACGACTTCTACCTGATCATGTTGTTAGAACCACTGGGATTGTATTCTAGACTAACACTGAGAGGCAAAGGAGTGGCACTCATGCCCCATAAAATAAATAGTAAATACTGAGCCCTGTTACTGAAAAGCCACATCCTTCCCATGCCACAGTGCCATGCACTACACTCAGTTTCAATATCTACAAAATTGGCATGATTAGATGATATCAGTGTTCTGACATCATTGGGATATTTTAGAAAATCATCAGTGAATGTGTCCTCAGTCCTAGTAAGAAAAAGAAACTCTAGTATGAATTCACTCAAACCAGAAGAGCCACCTTTTATTTAAATGGCTTCAGAGCCCTGGGCTGTGCTGGAAGAGAGAATTCTCTTTACTGTCCCCATGTGTTGCCAAAAGCTTGGTCCTTGTCCCCAGGGCCAATCCATTAACAAGGACACACTTTTGAGAACAAGGAAAAAGAAGGTTTATTGCTTTAGTAGCAAAGGAGAAACACGGGAGACTCCTGTCCCAAAGGCTACGATTCTGCTCATCCGCAGTAATAGGGAACTTTGATAGAGCTGTTCAGAGAAAATGAGATTAGGAATGAGAGATCAGGAAGGAGAAGATCAGGGAAAAGATTGAGGAGGAGAAATTTAGGGAAAAGACGTTTGGGAAAAATTCCCCTCTGTCAATTTCTTTTTCTTTTTTTCTGGCTGAGGATTGTTTTTTTTAAATTTGTTGTTCAAAACATTACAAAGCTCTTGACATATCATATTTCCCCCTCTGTCAATTTGTACATTCTATTTTTATGGAAAGTGGGCGACGACATCTACAAGCTACTTCCTGCTGAAAGGGGGTAAAGTTGGGAGAAGTAACCCAAAGTCTTGTTCTCTATTAGGTGGGTTTTGGACATTTCAGGGCATTCAGCATCAGAGAAGTCCAGAGGTCCACAGTGGCAGATGGCAGGTGACCGGACAAGGCCTACACATAGGACAGGGATCATGCTAAGACATCAATAAAGACAGCAAAGCTGTTTTTGTATAAACAATTAGAACAAAACAATTAGCGTTTCAGCCAGTCTCTGAAAACCATGGGGACAGTAACTCATAATCTTATCAGTGAAAAAAGATAATCAATGTAAGAGATTAGGAAAATTTGTAGGTCTACAAAATCAGACTCAAATTAACTCAGGAAAATTTTGCAACTCTTGTGGTCATTATGTTTTAGACACTCTCACCCAAGAACCCTTTCTTTATAGCCTCCAGCTTTCTCACTTTGGTAGGGCTGATACAAGTGAACATATTGAGTTACATAAAACAAACAAATTTTAAAAACCCAATATTTTTCCTGTTGAATGTTCATGTAGGACTGTGCTTTTAGGCTACACTCTCCTCCCAGGTGTCTAAGAGCAGACTGGTCAAAACTGACCTTGTTCCTATCTATTCTTAAAAGTCAGCTGAGATTTCTAAGAGGTCACCCTTGGGGACCCATGGGAAGCTTCCTGGATCCTTTAGCTTTCCTCTACCAGTGGTGCCATTGGCCAGCAATGTCCATCTTCAATGACCCTTCTCTTCATAGAATGTGCACTGGTTGGCTTCCTGTCTTCTGGGGTCCTCTCGATCTCCCTGATCCACTGATTGGGTGACTCACTAGGGTTGCAGGGCCCTGAGAGGGGTCCCATTGTCCTCCGGGTTCCAACTGACCTTACAGGGCAAAGGCAAAAATATTGACTGATTTTTCCTTGGCCCTTTTACTTCCTTGACTTTGGTCTCCAGGTTTTTAGTTTTAAACACCCAGAAAGCCAGTTTCACAGTCTTAAAGAGGAGCAACAAATTTTAACATCAATATCTATAGCTTTTACAGATTCCAATTTCATTTAATTGGGGTTAGTATTAGTACTGGAAGTCAGCATTACATGATATCTAATGGCTTATTTTCTCAAATTAACCCAGGTTTTTTAAATTTTAAAGTAGTTTGGAAAATCACTAACAGACAACAGTTACAATGTTCACAAGGAAAACACAAAATAAAATTAACAGAGCAAAAACATTCATTTTTTGTAACAGCTATGAACCAAGAAAAATGACTTTTATAATCTTGAACCTTGACTTAGTTCTATATTTCCTGTTTGAGATTACAGTAATCTTTAAAATAAAATCAATCTTTTCAATACAACTTTAAATGAACTGAAGTCTAGCCTGTTTGGGAGCCAATCTAACATGAAATAAAGTAGGAGGCAGAGCTTTAAGGTAAGGTGGGGCTCTTCACAAAGAACACAATATAACATTACACTTGAAACTTGAGTCAAAGGCTAAAAGAGGTTTTAACTGTCTTTATTTGTGTAAAAAGTAGCAGAATGTTTCCAGGCTTTACAATATCACCTTTAAACAGATCAGACTTTTTCTTAATACTTGCAAAAATATATTTAAATTCCAATTTCAGTGTGAAGAGTAATAAAATTGTATATATAAATTATTGACAACAGGTTACTTTATCCAGCTCTAAAACATCAAATACACAAATAAATACCAACCAAATTTGTTATTTCCAGACAAACCCAAGACTTTTGCTACACATAACTTTTAGTTTGGAGAACACCAGCTTGGCTGACCTTTACATTTAACTAAGCTTAACTTTTAAAGCACAATTTAGAATCCAGAGTGTACAATAATTATAATCACAGGTCTGCCTGGGTTAACAGAAATCAAAGCATAGCCTTAAATCTCTTATAATTAAAGTATAATTTGGAATTCAGAGTGTACTTATAACAATAATCACAGGTCTGCATGGATTAACGAAATCAAATGGTAGCCTTAAATCTCTTGTAACTTTTAGCAAACAGTGTTAATTATCAGAAATTGACTTAACCAAAGCAAACAGATATAAGACAGGTCTTCAAATGACAGTGTGGCCTTTCTATGTCAAATACAATAAGAGAGCACTTATTGGTTATCTTACTAGTAAACGTACATAAACTTTCATTTTATAAAATTTTACATAACACTTAACCAAAGCTTAGACAGATATAGTTCTCAGATGCATACATATACCTACTTGCATATATTTAGGATGTCAACTATATTGTTATAATCTAAATAACAGTTGTTTAACCAGCTACAAAGAAAACATTTAAGACTTTAAATCAGGTACAAACTCTAATTCCTTTAAGACTTAGTTTCTCCTAGTAATAAAACTTAAAAAATACAAGAAAATTATCTCAATAGATAAGAGCAGATCAACATTTCAGACTTTGCTTCATATCAGTCCATTAATGTTCAAATAACCTTTACTGTCTGTGCTAATTATAGCTAATTTAATCACAAACACAAACTTTTTGAGATTTTCCTTCTTCAAACCTTCTGCAACTTAAACTTTCAAAACTTCTTTGCATCCTTAGTTTTTCCCACTTCCATCTTAGACTTTATCCCTAGAATATTACCAGACAAAATAATTTCTCATCCAGAATCTTTAACCTTCTAATTTCCATACTAAAATATATTTCCATACCTATAACTTTTTCTTAATCTTTTCTAGTTTAAGACCCTTTTTAAAATTCACATTTGGAAACAGACCTTATGAATTTTATCTGTGCATTATTTACACAACAGATTTTGGACAAGCCAGCATGTAAAAAAACTGTGCCTTAATCTTTTTCCCCCAGGTTACATTTAAGGGGTTGGAGCACAGGATAGTTTTTGAGCCTCACCTATCTCCATTATCCTTATCACATTATCCTTATCACAGTGCCTTAACTTTAAATGAGTTTTCCCACTGTCACTGGTACCCAGAGGCTCCTTCAAGGCCTTTTTCTTATACTAAGCATAATGCTGTGCCCTGGAGGAGGCCCTTTCCACCCTTATCTTTAAGCTCCCTGGAACATCTCTTTGCAGAGGTGGGCCTTAATTTCTGTCTTTATCTTTTCTGGGTGCAGTTATTAATTCTGCAGGCATTCAGTTTGATGGGATACTATTATAGAAAGAATTGCTTTGCCCCAGTGATGAATATCCCATGGCCAAATAGGGCCTCTTGTCTGATCTTAGAAGGGGAGACTCTTCGTATCCCCATGTCATGATCTGACAGTGCTGGAACCTAGTACCATATCCTTTGTGACCAGCTGCCTCCACCTTCCACAGGCAAAAGGGGCTGGAAGGCAGGCAGAGGCCAGGTTCCTTTTAATCATTTTTTTTTACAGCCCAGACAGCTGAGTCCCCCCACCCCCCCAGTTTAGGGCTGGTGTCCTTGATCACAGTGAGATGATCTGCAGCTTCCTGGGGCCAGGCTGAGAAACAGAGCGGGAACTGCCAGCTCTGGGTGGAAAGATTTAAATCTCTTCAACCCTTTCTTCTCATGTCCTGCTGTCCTTGCCCACCAGAGGCAGTGCCTTTTGGCACCTTCAACTTAGTTCCTGACATTCAGACCACGTATCACGCAACTGCATCAATGCCTGTACAGACAGAATCCCTTTCACATACTTTATCCCTGACGACCAACTTCAACCCCAAGATTGTATAATAATTCAGAAAAACCATTCAAAGGCCAGATGGTGCTACAGCAAACCATGTTTCTTTTATGCTTATCCCTATAGGTGGCCCATGCAGCCAAAATCTCTCTGCTCAAGAGACTAGTAAGATCAATGCAGCATGGCTCATGTCTTAAAGGGACAGTATCAGACAAAAAAACAAACAACAACAACAACAACAAAAAAAAAACAAACAATAGAGGATCACGAAACCAGGGCTGACAGAGAGGAAACTTTAAAACAGATGGACTTGAATGTACAAATTTCTCTCACTTAATTTACCTTTGATAGACCAACTCCAACTGCAAGATTGTATAATAATCTAGGAAGCTATTTAAAAGCCAGATCATTACAGTAAAAAACACTATCTTACAGATGGCCCTTTCTTCAACTCGCTTTACCTCTGACAGAACAATTTCAATTGCAAAATCGTAGAAAAAGAAACAGAGAAACCACCAGAGAGAAGCCCCCAAACCATGGCTGACAGATAGGAACCTTTAAATCGACCAGCCAAGAACATCCCCAGCCAAGAGACCATTCATGGAGTCAATGCAGTACCAGCCAGGTCTCAAAAGCAGATACAAACAAAACAGCCAGCAGAGGAATTCCCAAGCCCAAGGCCAACAAACAGAGGAGACCCGAACAGATCAGAAGGGAGTACTATCCCTAGGTTCTCAAGTGCCACTTACTGGTGACTCCTACACCATTGGCACCAGAGATGTCCCCAGAAAGAGGGACCAGATGTTCCTACAAGGAGAAACTAGGGGTATGGAGTCAAGGGTCTCCGCGTGCACACCTGGGGAATTACCAAATGGACAAGGGTGTTGCGACTTGCCTGAGTTCAGTTTTCTTATTCTCAAAGTAGAGAGAGAGTGATGGGGCAACTTGTGCAGTTCAGGGAGAGAAGGCGGGAGTTCTCTGAAACAAAAGGAGCTCCCACGGCTGCTGGGAGGGTCCCTCTGATTCAGTGTGAGGCACCTCGCACCGTCTCCCAATTTCTCCAGCAGTTGGCACTCAACAAACTCACCAGCACCACGAATCCTCAGCATGGAAGCAGGTTTCCCTGGAGAGCCAGGCCAGCCCAAGAAAGCTGGAGTGGAGGGGTGCTGCTCTTGAGTCCCATCTGGGTTGTCAAATTTATTGCCCAAACCTGGGTCCTTGTCCCAGATGCCAATCCATTAACAAGGACAAGGTTTTGAGTAAAAGGAGGGGAAATCAGTGCTTTGCTAGCAAAGGAGAAACACAGGGGCCTCCTGTCCCATAGGCTGTGATTCTGTCCATCTGCAGGAAAAGGGGGCTTTTATAGAGGGGATTCAGAGAAAATGAGGTAAGGGAGGAGAGATCAGGGGAAAAAGAGGATCAGAAAGGAAAAGTTGAGGGAAAAGAATATCAGAGGAAATCGGGGAAAAGAAGGTCAGGGAGAAGAAAAAAGAACCTGTAAGTTTCACAGCCACAAAGGATATAGTCAAGGCATCAAGTGCACCCTGTTACCTGGTGCACTAGAGTCAGGTTTTCCTTTTCTTGAAGAACTGATGGAATATTCACAGACAAAACTCCAATATTGCAAAATCATCTGAAGTCTCTAAGATAATCTAATTATGTAGATGTTACAGTGATCCTCAGGGGTGGATGATAATGTGACAGCAGAAGGATACAGCTTTCCAGGAATTGCCTCATTTCCCCACTAATGGATCAGGGAAATTCAGTTCTTGGGCTTTTCAGGAGGTACCCCTGTGAGATGCCCTAACATGGGATCAGGCAGAAGAGAGTCTCTGAAAGCAAACCCAGCAGAAAGAGGGACAGACCACAACAGATCAGAAAGGCTTTCTTCATTACACAGTGCAGTGGCACATTTCCCAGGGAAGAAAATGGCACCTGGTTATAAGAGGGGGTCTGATTTTTATAGGGTCTAGTGAGAGTTCATCATAGCAAAATGTTTAGTGTGACTTCATCACTAAAGACAATTACAGTAGAATGTGTCAGTTGGGCAGTCAGGAAAACTCGTGGAAGTC